AAGCACGCGGCCCCGCCCCAACCCCCGGAAGCAACGCTGCCCGCCCCGCCCCGCGAGCCCGGAAGTCGGCTAGGCCCCGCCCCCAGCCCCGGAAGTCAGCCGCCCGAGCCGCGGCCTCAGGTCCCGCTCTGCACCCCCGCCCACCAGTCGGCGTTTTCGGTAGGCGCGGGGCCGTGGCCGCCGTCGAGGTGGGGCGGGCGGGCGGCGGGGCTTGCGGGCTCCACTCTCCAGGGCGCGGGCTCGGGAAGCGGCCGAGGCCTGCAGAAGTCAGGCCGCCGGCGGCACCCCTCGCCCAGGCCAGCGACCTCGCTGCGCGGGGAGGGGAGGGCAGTGACGAGCGCTGATGCGGCGTTCGCGGGCGAACGGCACCGCCAGTGTCAGGGATTTGACTCGACCCGGCAGGCTCGGTCTGCAGGGGCACTTCTCCCTCCCGCAGCCAAGGAGGCTGCACGGCTGGCTTCTTCCGTCCGCGCCAGGGCGGACTCAGACCACGAGACTGGCGGTTCCGTTTTTTTGGCGGGGACCCGCACAGGGAAGTGAGGGCGTCCTGCTAGGTCCCGGCGGGGTCCCGGGAGCTTGAAGGCGGCTGGGAGCTAAAGTTTCCAGGTTAGATGGGGCAGGTGAGGATCAAGTGCCGGTTGATAGTTTGTGAGTCCGAGCGGGGCAAGGGGCCCGGTGCAGTCAGCATAATTGAACAGAGAAGGGCCGTCTTTCCAGAGGAAGCGGGCCCCTGGGGCATCAGGTGATCTGCAGAACCAGAGAGACGGCGGTCATCGGAGGCCGACCGGTCTTCAGAGGCCGACCGGTTCCCCAGCCCGTGCAGGCCTTGCCGGCGGGCCAGCCGAGCCCCCTGCCCTGGAGACCTGGCACCTGCCTGGGCAGTGGCTGCCGGTCTTCAGTTGTACGTGTGTCTGTCTGCCCTTCCCAGCCCGGTCTCCTGTTGAGCGTGGTACCCGCACGACCCCGGGATGTACATGCAGGTGGAAAGGCGCAGCAGCACCTGCCTCCATCTGAGGAGGTCTCCAGGCATCCGGTCCTGGTCCCTGCTGGTCGGTAAGGGTTTCCATGTTGACCCCCACCTGAAAAACCTAACTTTGAAAAAGGGTGAGAGTGAAACTTACGTTTTACTTCCTTTGATTTACTTCTTGAAGATGTAGAACTATTGTATTGCTTTGTATTCTCCCGGGTTTTATCCTTTATCATGCTGTTACATATGATGTGTGCCTGTCTGGCCTTCTTCACCGCTGCACATCAGTTAGTTAACGCCGCGTGCTCCGCTGAGGGCCCCGAGTTTCCCTTCACTTGCTTCCGCACACCTGGCTGCAGGTCTGATTGACGTCTTGGGCCCACGTGAGGGGCGATGGTGCGTTCCTTTTCCCCTCCTAAGTGGTGGAGGCTGCTCTGACTTCCGTCCCTACACCCGCCGGGCAGCTGCGCCTGTGACTGCATCGCAGGTGTGAGGAGGTGCCGCTGTGCCCTCCGCAGCTGTCTCTGGTCCCTCTTTCGTGACCCTGCGCGCGGCCTCCTCCTTGTGTCTCCCCCGGCGTTGTGTTGTGATTCCTTACGCAGTCTTGTCTTCATTCCACACCGTGAACCTACCGCCGGGGTAAAACCCACACTGGGCTCCTGCGTGCGGTTCCCGCAGCCATCGCTGGCAGTGGGAAGGAGGTGGGCGCACGGCTGGCGGTGCTCCAACACCGAGACGCCCGCTTTCTCTCTGCAGGGATCTTGTCCGTCGGCCTGGCTGCTGCCTACTACAGTGGAGGTGAGTGCGGCGCCTGCTCCCTCCCAGCGGCTTCCTCGGCTCCTCGGAAAGGGGGGAAACGGAGGAGAGCCCAACGTCTCTCACCCACCGAGGCCTGGCCTTTGGGAGCGCAGGTCCCTCTGGCTCCTCATGGTTCACGGTGGCCCCACCCCTGGGTGCTGTGTGCGCTCCCTCATACCCACGTCCCTTGCATTCTGCACCTCACCTCTCTCTCGGGCATTTTCCTGTGCCAAAAATAACCGTCCCCCACTACTGAGTTTGACTGGCTGAAAGAAAATATTCTTCAGGAAGGTACTTGAAGCAGCACCCTGTAAGCCTTCTCCCCCCTCCCCCCCGCCCCCACCACTAACCATGCTGGGAACCAAAGGGACCCGACCACCTGCCTTGAGTGACACCCAGGGGACAGCGAGGGCAGAGCAATAGCAGGCAGGGCCCTCAGGTGCTGCTGCCCTCACCCGGCGTGTCCTGTGTTTGTCCGCAGACAGCCTGGGCTGGAAGCTCTTCTACGTCACGGGCTGCCTGTTCGTGGCCGTGCAGAACCTGGAGGACTGGGAGGTGAGGCCGCCAGGGCTGGGCACCTGGGTTTGGCCTGTCCGTCACTGCTCCTGGGCCAAGGAATCCTCTGAAGCCGCTTTTTTCCTAGAGGCTCTTCATGACGGTTTTTACCCAAATTCTGTCCTCCCAAGAGTTGCACAGCACAGAGTGAAGTGGGGGGGCCAGTGCACTCCTCTGGGAGCTTGGTGACCGCCCCTCCCTGATTCCCTTCCTGGTCCTCTGAGCTGCCTGGCCCTGGGCTGCTTTCTGACCTTTGACCCCCACTGCCCCCCTCTTCACTGGATCACCTTGGCCTGTACTTTTGCTTGCAAAGAGGAAACAGGCCCTGCCCCCGGGCCACTCGCCTGCCAGGAGCCCAGGGGTCAGGCTGCAGTGTTTGGCTCAGGCAGAGCAGCTCTTGGGGGTCGGGCTGGGGAGGCTGACTGGGAGGACAGGAAGAGGTCTGTGGTGAGGCCAGGAAAGTTGGGGAGCCCGGGCCCCTCCCTGGAGGTCTGTGTCCGGCCAGCCTGTGCACTGAGGTCAGCAGCCCGTGACCACCTGGTGGCCGGTTTTCCAGGAGGCCATCTTTGACAAGGGCACTGGGAAGGTCGTGCTGAAGACGTTCAGCCTGTACAGGAAGCTGCTCACTCTCTTCCGGGCGGGCCACGACCAAGGTGAGGCGTTGGGGGTGCCAGGGCGCAGGCTGCTCCTGGCTGGACCGAGGGCTGGGCGGCGGCTGGGACGGGCCCAGGGCCTGGAAACAGGCCGGGTCCCGGCTGGCTGCTCGGTACTCAGGGTTGTGTCCCACCTCTCGGGTGGACGTGGGGACGCCCCTAGACAGGCCCTGGTCCGAAGCATGTTGCCAGGCCTCCCTAGGTCGCTGACCGGCCACCGGGGACCAGGACAGCATTTTCAGCAGCTGGGGAGCAGCAGCGGTGGGGTGGACAGCACGGTGCTCCGCTGCTCTGCCGCTGCAGGGCGGTCGCGAGAGGACGGCAGGCCTTTCGAGGCCATGATGGGTCCACTGGACGTTCCTCCTCACCCAGACTGGCCGCCGCCCAGCAGCTGCATGACCATGCACCGTGGTCACTGACCTGTGACATCCAGGTCCTGGCCTTGGCTGTCTTCTGAGGTCCAGCCTGTGACACAGGGACCAATGCTCTGCTCGATGGCAAGCGTGAAGGGGTTCTCTGCAGAGTGGCCCTGTGACGGTGCCCAGCGCACGGGTGCGGGGGGCCCTGCCCCTGACGCGCCTGCCCTGTGCCCCCCGCAGTGGTGGTCCTGCTGAACGACGTCCAGGACGTGAACGTGGAGGAGGAGAAGGTGCGGGGCTTCGGGCGGGGCTTCGTGGTGGTGCTGCGCTCCGCCACCGGCTTCTCGCACCCCCTCACCCAGAGCGCCGTCATGGGCCACCGCAGGTGAGCCCCTCCCCCGTCAGGGGCCCCCGTGGGGACAGGCAGGAGATGGGGACCTCAGCTGGACAGGGCTGGGGTCAGGGGAGGGGGAGGACCGGATCGGAAGGGCCTGCTGGGCAGCGCTGGGGCGGGGTGGGACCGGTGCAGTCTTTCTGGCTGCGCACGTTCTATCCTCGTAACTCGCTCTTCCTCCCCGCGCCCGTGTGGCTCAGCGACGTGGAAGCCATCGCCAAGCTCATCACTGCCTTCCTGGAGCTGCACCGCCTCGAGAGCCCCGGGGAGCTGTCTCAGAGCAGCGACAGTGAGGCCGACGGGCCCAGGGGCCGGAGCTGACCCCCCGGAACCCCCGGGCTTGGTCCTGATGGCGCCTCGGCAGGCCTGACAGGCCACTGGCCAGTCCTCCTCCTCGTCACCCCGCTGTGTCCTCGGCCGCCCCCATGTGGGGTCCCTGGCCACTCGCGCAGCTCTGGGCAGGGCCACGGCTGGGCCATCTCTGCAGCTCCGAGGCGCCCAGGGAGAGCACGGGCCCTGCTGGGCAGCGTGGGCTGTGACTAGACAGACCTGCCCTGCAGCCCACCAGCCCTGGGGGGCTCTGGCCTCTGAAAGGGGAAGGCTCCCTAGGGCGCAGCTGCTGGCTCAGGCTGTGGACGTGGAGGCTGGCGCACAGCCCCCAGGAATCCCAGCAGTATCTTCTGGCTCCCACACCACGTCCCTCTCCTGGGCCGATGTCCTCAGTGGTCAGAAGTGAGGTCCCACCCACGGGCTGCAGGGACCCACCTGGCCTCCCCAGGAGAGAGACCATTCCTGCAAGATGGCTCATCTCGGAACCCACCAGGATGCGCTGGGCCGTCACAGGCAGGGACCCCTCGGCCCTGACAAGGCCGCTCCGCGAGGGAAGAGGGCATTTCTTCCAGCTTTGCTCAGCGTTTAAAGCCAGGACCTCCCCCCTGGAAGTCGGACTCGCAGCTGCCCTCAGGGCCTGGGGCCTGTTCCTGCATGGCAGGAAGTGGGCCGCACCCACATGATGGGCCCCGAGGGCGCCTCAGGGCATGGCCACCTGGGCACAGCCTGCAACCCCCTGGGGTCACCCCGGCCAGGCCCAGGCGGCCTGGCTGTCAGGAAGGACAGCGGTTTGCAGCCACCCTCTCCCTTTTCAGTGGGGCCCAGCCAGCCCCCCTTGGTTCGGGAACACGGTCATTCAGACCTATGGAAGCTAGGTTTTCAAACTTAAATCTGAGATGCTTTCTTTTCTAAAATAAAGTAAAATGCTGTGACTGGCTGGCTTCTGGTACGTTCCTGCCGAGGCCGTGAGGTGCCCCACCCTCTGTGGGGGCCACCAGGAGGCCTGGCTCAGCCCGGGCCCAGTGGGGTTGGTCACACTCCCAGCAGCACGGCCTGCAGCACCTACTTTCCGCTTTATTTCACAGGAATCAATGTTCCTGCCGGTCAGTAAACACAGGTCTGCGCTTCCTTCTGTGTGCGCTGCTTCCCTCTCCCCAGGGACAGCCGTGCTGGGGGAGGGGGGACACTGCAGTGGGACCCCTCAGGGGTCAGGGCCGGGGCTGGCCGGGGGTGCCTGGGGCCCGGCAGCCTCGCTGAGGTCCTGCAGCAGCGCCTGCAGCCGCCCCAGGCTGGGCTGCACGTTCTCCTCCAGCCACTCGTCCACGGCGTCCTCGTGGAAGACTTGGTGCAGGGCGGCCTCCAGCTCCCGCACGAGGGCGCTCCACCTGGCCAGGAGGCTGCGGGCCCAGACGGCAGGGAGCCCTGGTGAGGACCCCGAGCAGCAGCCCAGTCCCGCCCTCGGTTTACCCACCCGCACAGGGGGCTGTCGGCGGGGTGGGGGGGGCTGAAGGCTGACCGTCACGTTTTAATGTCTGAGCCCGAGACCGGACTCCCGACTGTCTGGCAGGGCTGTGTCGGCACCCGCACCAGTCGACGACGGTGCCCAGCACCCCGAGCCCGGCAGGGGCATCTGCACTGGCCTGGACCAGCCGGGAGCCGGGAGAGTGTCCGGAGGGCTGGCTGGCAGGACTCTGCCCCCCACCCGGGTGCTGGGACGACTCGGGCTCATGGTGTGCTGGGCCCTGCCCAGGTCATCCTGGTCACCCCCTTTTTAGGCTAGGAGCACCCTGGGCTCCCTAACACTCAGGGGCACAGCCCACGCAGCGAGGCTGAGGCACCTGTGGTGCCCAGAAAGCCTGTCACGGGCAACGGCCACAGCTACCACCGTGCGGCACCGGACACGCGTCCGTGGGGCGGGTGCCGTGCGAGGGGCGGGTTACCTGAGCACCTGCGGCTGGATGTGCTGGACCATGGCCGGGTGGATGAGCTTCCGCCTGCGATGGTAGGGGCTGAACCAGCCCGTCACGTACCTGCGGGCAAACCCCCCCACACAGGTGGGCCCCAGGGAAGGGGCAGGCAGCCTCGGGCGGTTTTAAGCAAGGCCTCAAACACTTCAAGAATCGGGCAGAGATTGCTAAGTCATTTTCTCCCTGGAAAGTTCCGGTGCTGGAGGGGCAGGCCCTCACCCGGGGGTGCGGGGGCTCGGGGGCGGGCTGCCTCCCCTGGGCCCTCCCTCACCTGTCCCTCTGCAGCATCTCGTCCACAGAGCCGCTCAGGTGGAGGCCGACCTGCGTGACGAGGGCCAGGATGTCGCTGCCCGGGAAGGAGCCGGCCCCCTCGCTGCACAGAGAACCCAGGCTCTGAGACGGGCCGACCAGCATGTGGGGGCGGGGGGGCAAAGCTGGGGGCCGACTGGGACGGGGGTGGCAGGGCTGGGGGCTGGAGGTCACCTCGCAAAGCCGGTCATTTCCAGGCTCGGGATCCCGAGAAGGTTCTCCACTTTGGCTCTAGCTTCCTCGGCAAAGCCCCCTGAAACCAACGGAGACCTTAGGGGGCCTCCGCAGGGACTGGCGAGGCCTGGACCCCTTGTCTGTGGGTGGCAGCGGGCCAGGCGGGCTGCTGGCCAGGCCAGCCAGGCTTGTGCCAACCCCAAGAAGACCCGCTGCTTCTTACAAAACACGTGAAAATGTGCTTGTTAAAAGTGAGAGAACTAAGACCCCCATCGCCAGCAGGGCCACAGCCCAGAGACCGCTGGGCGGATACACAGGGGTGCCATCAGCCCTTCCAGGCTCCCCCCGGGGTCCTGGACTCCGGGGGCCACGGAAACGAACCAGTGAGGCTGGGGCTGCTGTGTGCACAGACCTCCCAGTCAGTGTGGGTGACAGCACCCGCCTAGACGGCCCTGGGTGCTGGGCTCAGCCAGCACCGCACCTGCTCTGTCCCTGACGAGGCCCCCCCGTTCCGTCTTGCCGGCGGCACAGCCGGGGCCTCTGGATGACTGTTTGCTGCCGGCCCTGCCCCCGCTGTGTCCCCAGACGTGTTTCTGTGCCAATACACATCCTCGTGCCAACCCCCTCCGAGGTGTCACGGTGCAAACACACCTCTCTCTGTGACTGGCCCTCGCTGCCGCCAGGATGCTCCGGGCGCTGCCCTGGCCCGTCCCCAGCCCCACCCCCCCGGGGCCCTGGAGGTGGGCGGCAAAGGCAGCACCTGTTTCCGTGTCTGGGGGGGACGGGCTCCTCTCTAGGGCGCACTAGAGGGGACACGCTCCCTAACCCCCCAGCCTGTCTGGGGTTTAGGCCTGAAATCCTGGGCTGGCAGGGGATGGGGGTGGCAGCTTCAACGGGCGTGCCGCCCCCCGACCCCGAACTGCGGAGGAAACGCAGTCCACCCAGAGGACCTGGGCCTCTGCTCCTCCTGCCCTCCCCCCGCGGGCCTCCAGGGAGAGCGGGGCGCCGTACCGTGGAGCAGCGACTGCAGGCAGGCGGCCAGGGACGGGATCCCCACAGGCAACAGCTCGCAGAGCACAGAGAAGTGGTCGTACCTGGGTCCACGGGAGAGGCGCTCAGCGGCTGCCCCTCTGCCCGCCCCAGCCCCTGCCCCACAGGGCGGCCCCCCAGCCTCCACACCTGGTGTGCCGGCCCCGCCCACACGGCCCTGCCCGGCCCACTGCTTTGCGGTCGCCACCCCGATGGTTCTGCTACCGAGGGCAGAGCTCCCCTCGAAGGCCCTGCCTCCACCTGCCCTTGGTGCTGGGGCCACCTGGCCTCCCCTCTCCCAGACCCTAGGGTAGGCCTGCGGCCAGGACTTGGCCAGGACAGGGGTCAGTTCCTAGGTCAAATCTCCAAGTGGTAGGAACTCCTGAAGAGCCACCATCTGTCCCGGTTCCCACTGTGCAGGGGCCGAGTGCGGTGGCCGCGTGGAGGCTGCGGACGTGCACGTGGACCAGAGGGCCCACGGGGGGCCCCGACGCCCAGGGCAGCGGGCCCCGGGCAGGGCGTGGGGCGCCTCCCACGCTGTCCCCAGAGCACCCGCCCCTCCCTCCTGCTGAATGAGAAAGGTCGCAGGCCCAGGCTGCGGGCGGCGAAGAGGGCGACGGACCCGGCCGTGGGAGCCGCCCCCCCTCCGGGGACGGGCCTGGGTGGCCTCACCTCTGCCAGCCGGTCAGGACGATGCCCTGCAGCGCGTCCGCCGGCCCACAGGCCGCCACCTGCAGCCACTGCATGTTGTTCCGGACGTGGTGCTCGATGGGGGGCAGGGTCTGGTGCGGCCCCGTGGCCCCCTTGAAGGCGCTGGCGGCCCAGAGCCGGGGGAAACCGCACTTCCGGTACTTCTCCACGAGGAGCACTGAGGGACAGAGCGGCAGGTGTGGCCGGGCCCCGAGGCGGCTGCGGCCACCGAGCCTGAGCCGGGAGGCCCGACCCCACGCTGTGCAGACGGGAACCATGGGAGCCCACACCCGCCAGGCCCGGGGGGTGCCCATCTCACAGGGGGCCCCAGATCACGTTGCCCCCCCATTCACACGCCCACTAGGACAGCCCGTCCCGGGAGGGCCTGGCCACGGGACCCGTGCCGAGGGCCGCTCCCGGGGCTGGGGACCCTGGGCGGTGAACCACAGGTCCCGACGGGCGGGGAGACAGACGCCCTGCATCCCCCCCCTCCCCCGCTGGGCCGCCGGGGTGACAGGGTCTCCTCCAGCAGTGCGGCACTGACCCTTGCCTCGGACGTCCAGGTCAGCCCCGTAGTCCCAGAGCACCGGCTCCACCAGCTGCGGCAGCCCCGACGCTGGGGGGGGGGGGACGTGCGTGAGCACTGAACCCGCTGAGACGGCCCCCCGCCCACGCCCTCTTCTCCGGGCAGACCCCACGCTGTGCCGCTCTCACAAGCAGGAAGCCGCCAGCCATGGCAGCGGCCAGACGCCCGGAGTTCTGAGTTCCGGCCCGGCCAGGGCTCCAGAGCTCCCCGCACGGGCGGACCGCTCTGGCCAGCGGCCCTAGGCCCAGATGCCCCGGGACGCACCGCTGAGTGGACTGAATTGTAACGAATGCCAGTGAAACCCAAGTGGCCACACATGGGTACCAGTCTGTGGGGGAGGGGACACTGGGGCACCGGACCCCAGCTCTGGCGGAGCCAGGGTGACCACCCCAACCTCCCGTCTCATCCCAAAGACCCAGGCAGGGCGAGCCTGGGGGCTGGAGAGGCTGCTGCTTCCCTCCCTGGAGCCTCCGCCGGGGCCCCCCACGGCCTCACTGCCACCCCCAGTTCGGATCCACCCGCCAACCCCCTGCAAGGTTCTCACCGCCTTTTGAGGGAGCGGCGTGCTCGTGTGAGGGAGTTTAGGCAGCGGTCTACGGGGACCGACTGCCTGCGGCCCTTTCCCTGGCTCCCCCACTCCGCAGACGGGGCTCAGCAGCAGCTCTGCCCCCCGCCCCCCCCTGCACCAGGGCGCCCCCTCCCCCGGCACCAGGGCGCCTCCCCGCGGATGCACGCGGACGGGCGGGCTGACCTGACAGCTGGTCCTCGGGCATGTCCCGCAGCATGTCGTCCCACACCAGGGGCGTCGTGGTGGGGTACCGGGTCTGCACGAGGCTGGCCACGGCCCGGATGTGGGCCAGACACAGCGCGGCCGTGGAGTTCTGCGCCTGCTGCAGCCACTGTCTGGACGCCTCGCCCTCCCCGAGGTGACAGACCTGGACGGGGGAGACAGACGCGGCCGCCTTGGGGCACGCTCCGGAGCGACTGGGGGCACAGGCTGCGGCCAGAGCGCCAGGGGAAGTGGCACGTGAGCAGCCGGCGGCAGAGTGGGGCCCTGCCTTCCCCACCGAGACCCGGAGTCCCACGCGAGAGTCCCCTTCTCAGCAGCTCCGGAGGGAAATAACCCCGACGGCCCCCCACACACCGGAGCGTCCCTCAGCCGCACGCAGGGACGCAGCCTGGGCGCATCCCGCTCATGACGGCGCCGGGCACGAAAGGCCACACGCTATGGAACCCCATTTCGGAGATGTCCAGAGCCAGCAAACCCACAAACACGAGGGGGTGGCCGGGCAGGGGGTGGGACTGGCTGCTTGAGGGGCGTGGGGTTCCCTTCAGGGGAGGGAGGGCCCCACGGGTGTTTCTTCGGTGGGAGAACACAACCAGCTCAAACCTGCTCCCGTTGCCAGCCCCCGGGGCATGAATCCCACTGGGGCGGGGGCTCGGGCAGCACCACTGTTCCGGGCCCAGCCCTCCCTCGCCAGACCCTGGGCGCCGGGACCCACGTGTCACAGGTCTGCCTGGGGGAGGCCCCGTCAGCGACACCAACGGCCTCTGCCGGACGCCCCCCCGCCGGCCTGCCTCTGCCCCTCAGCACGCGGGCCACATTCCTGCCTCAGAGAAGCAGCCATGAGGTGGAAAAGGCGAAGTGAGGACACGGCACTGCCAGCGTGGACGTGGCCGGCGTGGGACGTGGCCGGCGACACGGGCACCCACCTCGTCACAGCCGATGTGGAGCCACCGGGCCCCCGCGTGCAGCTCCATGACCTGGCCGACCATGGCCGCGACCAGCGCCAGGGACTCGGCCTCGTGCGGGTTCAGGGTGTTGGGGAAAAGCGCCACCTCCCGCAGGTGCGCCAGGGCCTGGTGCTTCAGCACAAACTGCGGAGAGAGGGCAGGAGGGTGCTCGGGGACCTGGGGAGGGAGGCTCCCGCCAGAGCCCCTGCAGCAAGGGACGGCCGGGGGTGGGGGGGAACCCTCAGCCAGGCTCCTGTCTTGGCGTGCCGACAGGCCAAGTCTCGGTCGGTGCCCCCAACCCTGCGCCAAGCCCTGCAGAGGCCGGGCGTGGTGGCTGGCGGCACAGCAGGGGCTGCCCAGTGGCTGCACCCCAGCCCGGCCTCTCTGCACGGGCTGAGTGGGGACGGAGCAGGCAGGCCCCTTCACACGCAGAGTCACAGGCCGGGCGGGCTTCCTGCCCCAGGTGCACGAAGTGGTCGGCGCATTGCCCCCCGAACAAGAGCCAGGCAGAACCGTTTCTCAAGAACAACCTTTCTGGGGGCCCGGAGGCGGAAAGGGACGAGACCCCTGAGAGCGAAGCCAGGAGCGGGACCCGGGCCGGTGGGGGCTGGCCCCGGGAGAGCATTCCGGCGCCAGGCTCCACACCGCGGGGACGCGGGGAGGCTGTCGGTCTGCAGCTCTCACAGGTGCATCCCTTCGAGGGCAGCACGGAGCCCACCTGTGTCTCATCGCTTCCCACAGACACAGGCTGGGGAGCGGCCTGACGGCCCCAGGGGAGCGTGGGAGCGTGGGAGCGTGCTCCCCGCACGGAGCGAGGGAACGGCACAGAGAAAACAGGAAGCGTGTCCCCTCTTCTCGCTGCTGCTCAGTCATGCTTTGAGGGGCGCAGCTGGGGAGCAGACAGCCCGGTCCCCGGCTCCCCCTCCGCCCGGGGCAGAGGGGGTCTGACCCACGGCCCCGCGCTCTCCAGCTGTGCGCCGGGGCTCCCGAGAGCCTGTCCCTGCAGCGCTGAGCTGCCCCCGGCCCCAGCGCCCGACCCCCACACCTGGGCCCCAGGCCCCCCGCTCACCTCCATGTGCCCAAACGTCTGCACCAAGGGGACGACCTCCAGCCCGTTCTGTGCGGCCAGCTGCAGGATCTCCTTGACCTCCGAGGGGCTGCGGACACCAGACCACCCAGGGGGTCACACCAGCTCCTGGCCACGCTTCCCCACACCCCCGGGGCCAGGGGCCGGGGCAGACCAGCACAGTCCTAGCTCCGAAAAGCTCGACAGGGACTGCGACCGGGTCGGAGATGCCCCTGCCCTGGAATCTGTGGAAGTGACAGCTTTTCACCAGCCGTCCCCACCCAGACGACAGGGCGCTGACGTCCTTCCACCAGGAGCAGCCACACAAATCACGCCGGAGAGCGGGGGAGGCAGGCCGGCCCGCAGCAGCAGCAGCAGCAGCCGCCTAAGGACGGTGCCGGCATTCACACTGATTCAGGAACGTGTGTCAGCGCCCCCCAGTGGTTTTGCTGGAACACAGCCACACCCTGTCCGTCCTTCCCTGCCACCTGGGGCTGCTTCTGCCCCAGGGAGGGTGGGCACCCAAGCCAGGCGGGCCCAGCCTGAAGAGCTCACCGTCGGGGCTTGAGGGAGAAAGCAGGTGACCTCCCCAAGAGAGGAGACGGCGAAAGGTCCCTTCGGGTGGAGAGCCACCCCCACCCCACCCCCACCGTGGGGGAGGCCGCAGGTGTGACCTCGGCTGTCAGCCCCCCCACCAGAGATGTCGCCTACGAATCTACCTCAAAAGAAAGCGATCTCCAGTTTCTCTACGTGCCGAAACCACCTCCTAGGTTAAAAGTGCACTGACTAGATGAAGGTAGTTCCCCCTTGACGCCAAATATACCTCGTTCACTTGAAAACACAAACGAACAGAGCCAGTCCGCTGTAGGAAGAGCGGGGGAGCACAGAGCAAAGGGAAACCCGGGGCGATCGCGCCCCGGAGTAACGCTCTGGCCGCCCGGTCCGGAGCGCCCGCCCACAGGGCCGGCCCTCACACACGGGGGAGCCCTGGCACACAGCACCCACACCCCGGGGAGCCCTGACACACAGCACCCACACCCCAGGGAGCCCTGGCACACAGCACCCACACCCCGGAAGGCCTGGCTCTTTGCCGCCCGCCAGCAGGACGCCTGCTGCTTCTCACCCCCGTGACCACCAGAGCGTCGTGGGTTCTTTAAAGGGTTCACCAATCTGGTAGCCAAAGTGGCGTTTTGTGGCTGTTTTAATTTCTTCTATCACTGTCATCTGTGTATTGTCCTCTGCCCACCCTCTTGGGGCTGCTTGCTCCTGGGTTACATGGGCGCTGGAATCTCGAGCCGGCGGGACGCGCCCAGGACCCCCGTACCCCGTGTCTCGGATTCTGAGCCTCTCCCTCGAGTCCCCGCTTTCCCGGGAAGATCCACGGCGGCCTCAGGGCGAGCCCTCCTCCCCCCGCGTGGCACCTGCCAACGGTTCCCTCAGCGCTACCCGCCTGCCGACGGTGAGCACACAGCTTTCCCCTCGGCTGGGAGCGCGCTCTATTTTTATTATTCGAGACACGTGTGTAAAAAGACAGACAGGTTGCCCCACCAGGCGAAGTCCCCGCCTGCCCCACCCGCGTCCCCAGGTGGCCGCCCCACACCGTTCTTCTCTCTGCACGCGGCCACCCTCCTGGGGCAGGTACCTGTACGCGTGCGGGGCCCGCAGCAGCCGCAGGTGGCCCTCGTAGGGAAACGTGTCCTCGTATTCGACGAGGAGGCCGTCGGCGCCCAGGGCGCGGAACAGGGGGAACACCTGGCGGCAGAGGGGGTGGCGAGAAGGGGCGGCCGTGTGAGGACACGCGTGCGGCACGGGACCCCTCCACCTCACTCACACGGACCGCCGCGGACACGCACATCCTCCCCGTGACCTCCCGCCGGGAGTGTGTGCTCTGCGTCACGTCAGACCAAACTCGCTAACGCAGCGACATCTTCACCTGGCACCTCGGCGGGGGGACCACACACCCTAGAGCAGCCGCCTCTGAACAGCAGCTGACTGGCGGCTGAGCTGGGGCGGGAGGGCAGGGCGGGCGGGGCCCACGGGCTGCAGGGTCGGAGAGCACAGCTCGTCCGGCCCAGACGCAGCAGAGAGGAGCCTCTTTGAGCGCCAGAGCTGGGATGGGGGTGCGACAGGGCTCTGGGTTGGGGCAACCAGGCAGGAACCAGAGGGGAACAGAGGTGCTGGCCACTTCACGGGCTTCCTCCCCCGGCTGCCCCATTACTCCATCTTTATTTCAAAAGACGTGAATTCCTGTCCTCAAGGACTTGGGGACCACATCTTGTCTGCTATACACAAGGCTGGGCCCCCTCCAGTCGGGTGTCATGGCTGGGGGCCAAGCACACATTTCTACAAGACTCTGTTCACAGCTTGGAAGACTGAACCCAGAGGGGTCCCTCAGGGCAAAAGGGAGCTCCTCCTACCTCCGAGAAGTATGAGACCTTAGGTGGGGCTCCTTTAAGGTCCAGGTGAACAAACCGCATCTTAAACAGCGAGGAGCCTGACATCTCGATATTTTTTTGTGAAGATACACGACAAAAATCTCTTGTCCGGGGCACTTCTCCCTGGTAGAGAAATTCAGACTTATTAGTGAGCAGAGGCTTCTGACTCCTGTTTCAGTTCTGTTTCTCTTCAGGGAGAGGGGAAGGGAGAGGACAAAGAGAGGGAGAGAAACATCCATGTGTGGTTGCCTCTTGTGCGCCCCCTGCTGGGGACCTTGGCCTGCAACACAGGCGTGTGCCCCAACTGGGAATCAAACCGGTGACCCCTTGGTTCACAGGCCATCACTCAGTCCACTGAGCCACACCAGCCAGGGCTCAATGACAGAATTCTTGAGGCAACTACCTAAATTACCAGCGGGGGATGGGGCGATGGGGGGTGGATGCATTCTTATGAAAAAGCATTGTGAAAATCCGCAATGCTTTTAAAGCTGAATTGCTTTAAAATCTTACAAACGAAATCTGTTTTTTCAGGGAACGAATGTAAAAGCGACATTTCCGAGCTCCAGTCCGCACTGGTCGTGCGTGCGCCTCACATTAGACAGGAACCCGGTTTCTCCCGGGACACTGGGGTGCGAGAGCGCACATCTCACCTGCGACAGGCACGTCAGAGTCCTCGGCAACCGAAGCCCCTGCCAGTCCGCGAGGGCGCAGAGGTCAGCGCCATCTGGTTAGGAGAGCCAGTTCCCTTGCCTTGATTCCCTCCTGCAAGATCTATAGAAACGAGATTATTTCCGAGACCTGGGTCACCTCTCACTATTCTTTATCAGACTGCAGGTAGGTACGCACTTGTCGCTGGGTCCGCGGCTCCCCGGCAGGTGACCACAGGCCCTGAGGGGCCTGCAATGGCACTCCTGCCCCCAGTTTCAGATGAGGGGGGCAGAACTCTTAGTCCAATGGACCCCAGAAGGTTTTCTACCTCCCCATCAGTAAATCGCTCACCTTTGAGACATAATCTTCATGAATGACCCTCACTGTGAACTTGGCTCATTCAGAATCATAGGTGTCTTGATAGGGCTACTTGACTCTCCCTCCTTTCTCACCGCACACGGAAGCTGCACGGAGAGCCGAGGGCCTTCGGACACGCCACTGAGCACAGAGATGCTCTCGGGTGTGGCCCGGACCCCGGGGAGGTGGCGCGCGAAGGCGCCGGGAGGCGGGGCGAGGACGCGCTTCAGACTTGGGCTCGGAGCTCGGCCCTTTCCGAGTGGGGTGGAGGAGCGGAGAACCGCGGGCGGGGTGTGCGGGGGAGTGCGCTGCGGAGTGCGAACCCAGGTGCGCCGCGCTCGGCCTGCGATTGCTCGGGTCTGGCCGCGCTCCCCGGAGTCGACGGCCGAGCGAGTCGTTCGGCGACTCCGGCCGCGCCAGCCTCGCGCTACCTCTCGCGAAACTTGTCGCGGCTCGGGCGCTCCCGTGTTCGGCCCCGCTCTGCGGCGAGCTGGCCCGATGGCGCCTCAGCGGAGAGGCGCGCCTAAGGCGCACGAGGGCAGCGGGGCGGCCGAGCGCAGGCGCCCGAGCAGGTGAGGGGCTGCGCGGGAGGACGCGGGTTCCGGGACCGAGGGCCGGGACGTGGGCGTGGCCTGAACGCTTCGGTGCCGAACGGGCGCCCGCCCAGGTGGGGGCGTGGTCGTGCGGTGGGCGAGCTGTCCTGTGGGTGTGGTCTTCCCAGCGATGGGGGCGTGGCCCGTGGGGCGGGGAGTCTGTGGGTGGGGCCTGCAGAATCCCGTCCCCGCGGGTGCCCTCTAGCCCGGTAGCCTGCCCCGACTCAGAGCCTCTGGCTGAGACTGGGGGTTGCGGGGTGCAAGAGGGGTTCTGCGCCCCAAATCTTCGCTGATTTCCCTACCCCGTGTGTCCAGAGGACTCCATGCCGGGCCTCCTCAGGGGCCCGGGGTCCCCGCGGCCCCACCGTCTGGTCCCCGTGTGCTTTCCCGAGGGCTGTGCACGGGAGGGCTCCCAGTGGGCGGCCGGAGGAATGAGTGTGACCATCTGATCACCTTGCCTTCCGGCGGATTCTGACCAAAGCTCTCGGAGCCAGGACCCCTTTTAATCACCCTGGGACAAGTGACCGACCGTCCTGTGGTGCCTCCCCAATGGGCCACGGACCTGGCTCCGAGGCCTGAAGAAGCAGCCTTCTTTGTTTCGGAAGCTTGCCCCGAACAAGGGTGCTTATTTTGAGGCGACTCCGAGTGGAGCGTCGTGTCGAAATCTGGCGGGAGAGGCTGCTTCTTCGCTCTCGTCTCCCTGTGCCCCTCCTGCTCCACGCTGCCCCTTTCCAGCTCAGCAGCCAGGCTGTCCTGGGAATGTGTGGCCCACAGCTCTGCACCTGCAAGTCGGGCTTTCAGCCGCCTGCTGCTGAGGAGGGCCAGCACTCTCCCCGCCTGATCTGAATTCTTGGGGCAGAGAAATGATGGGCTCGCTGGAGTCAGGGGTCCAGCCCAGCCTGATCAGCGGAGACCAGGTGGCCGGTCTTTGAGGGCTGGGTAGACCCCCCCCCCCAGGCAGCTGCAACCGCAGTTTAAAACGACCGTGTGCTCACCCGGGGTGGTCTGACCGCGCTGTGCCCAGCTCCAGCTCGGGGTTTGTTTCACTGGGATCGTCGGTTTAGCGGGGTGAGCTGTGAGAGACAAAGACCGAAGGCAGGTGCCCTGCTGTCCAGGAATTAGTTCTGCACCAGAAGAAACCAGGCACCCGCACCACCGTGGAGGGGTGCCCTGGTCTTTGTTCTCACTCTCTGCCTGTTCATCAAGCTCCACAGCCGCCAGATCTTTCCCAGACAGCAGAGCACACAGCTGCTCAGTTACACGTGTGTGCAAACACATGTGCATGCACACAGACGTATGTGTGTGTGGATATGTACCACAGAAACACACATGGACACCCACGCCACTTCTGCTCGGGCAGTGAAGCCCCCCAGGGACCCTGGGCTGTACAGAAAGTGTCTTGCCCTGGCTGGTGTGGCTCAGTGGATCGAGTGCCAGCTTGCAAACCAAAGGGTCGCCGGTTCAATTCCCAGTCAGGACACAGGCCTGGGTTGTGGGTCAGGTCCCCAGGAGGGGGTGCTTGAGAAGCAACCACACATTGATGTGTGTCTCTCTCTCTTTCTCCTTCCCTTCCTCTCTCTGTAAAAAAAAATAAATAAAATCTTTTTTAAAAAGTTAGTGTCTTGCTTGCAGGTCATCTCCGTTGTGCTTGTTTTCTCTTTCATCTGACTTCCAGTCTAGTCAAGTGGGTTTGAGTCACACCTGACTTAGTTCAGATTGTGTGTCTGCATGTGCGTGCTCACCGGGGCACACGTGTGAGATGGGGCGGTCCTGTCCAGGTGCAGGCCACGTGAACAGCGCCGCACACTCTGGTAGGACTCCCGAAACAGGTCGTCCACTGGCAGCTCTCCCTGTTGCCTGTGAGGGGCACATGAGCCCTGCGTGGTCCGTGGAGGGGCACGCTTCCCACCATGTCCCCCCGCCTGGCAGGTGCCCCTGGATTGATTGACAATAGCTCTGACAACATTGGGTGCAAGGACAGGCCAAGGCTGCAACCGGCTGTGGACGTGGCCTGCCCTTTCAGCCCACACAGGTGCACGTGGGTAACTGGCTGTTTTCTGTTCTCAGCGTGAAGGGTACCCGTGCGCCGCGGGAGGTGTGGAGCAAGTGGCTAAGAGCCGCCGTCCTGGGGACCTGTGCCACGCTTGCTGCGCTCCTGCTCTGGGGCAGTCTGAGGGGCGATGAGGTCGGCACGGAGGTCCTGGCTCACCGCAGCGAGGTTCTGTCTGGCCGATTCATGGAGGTGCCCTGCTCCGAGGACTACAACAGCCACCGGAGGTTCGAAGGTGCGCAATGCCGTGGTCGCCCAGGAGAGGGCAGCGAGTCAACGTGTAATATGGTGCCCCTAAAATGCGTGTCTTTTGCTGCAGTGGGGCTCAGGTTCAAGGGGGGGGGGGCATGGCAGATGACCTTTCCCTGACCCCAGGTTTGTTAGCCCACACCTGGGCCTGGACGTGCAGGTGTTTCGCTGAGGCGTCCCTCACTGTGGGCGCCATCGGATGGAGGGGACCCTTTGCCTGGAAGGGTGTAGCAGGGTTGGAAAGGGAGGGATCACCCAGAAAAGGCACTGGCTGTGGAGAGTGTCTTAGAGCGTGGTCACCGCAGAAAATACTGCAGTGAGGAACCTCACTGCCGGAGGCCCTGCCCCCGCGTGGGTGCGTGCCCCACCCTGGCGCTCTGCCCCTGAGAGGGTGGCTGGTGGTCCCGATGAGGCGGCACCTTGCGCCCAAGAAGCCCAGGGGACGTGGGGTTCAGCACCCTGGACAGCTCTCGGGCCACAGCCTAGGCCGCCGGAGACCCGCACCCCCGGGTGGCCCCCTGTAATTCCCAGCATGCTCCCTGCTCCCTGGGCGCCGTCTCAGCTTCAGGAACCTAGCCCGAGTGGCCAGGTCTTGCAGGCAGAATTCCGTTTACTTTTCATTCAGAGCAATGCTGCCTTTGAACTTGAACCAAGAAGCTTGCCAAGCTTTTCCACCAAGGGGTGCCGCTGAGATGCGGGGGAGAGGACTTGGCTGGACCGAATGCAGAGGGTGGGGTGGGGACAGGGCGTCGTCCCCGAGCGCTCGGGGAAGGGGCCGACTCTGTGGCTGGTGCCCCACCTCAGGTGGCTGTTCCCTGTGACGTCCCAACATGCGAGAAAACGTTATCGGCGGTTAGAACTGAAGAGGAGTTTAGAAGCAGTGGGCGTGGCGGGGGCTGGGGAGGCTGTGCTTACTGGGTGTGGGGTGTCCGTTTGGGAGGATGACCGAGTTCTGGGGTGGATGGGGTGACGGCGCTCAGTGCCACCGAGCTGCCCCTGAACACGGCTCAGGCAGTAAGTGTGTGTCACAAATGCCTCACCACAGCGAGAGACGGCGGCTGGAGTGTGCGTTCAAGCCCCTGCCCCCCGTCCTCAGCCCTGCGCCCCCGTAGGCGAGCGGCGCCCGGGACGCGCTCCCGCTCCCGAGTCGTCCTGCCCGTCTGCAATCCGCATCTACTCCCGTGTCCCGTATTCTACCTGCCAAGTCTGGTCCCCGCCCCGAATCCTGTGCCAGGCAAGGCCCCCTCCCACAAACGCCTGTCGCCCCCCCACCCCGGAGGGCCACCCACAGGCCCCGTGTCCGGGACTCGCTGTGCCCGGCCGGCCTCTCACCCTGGCCCCTCTCTCCGCAGGCTGCTCCCCGACCAGGTGTGGCCGGGGCGTCAGCGACACCGTCATCACCAGGGACGAGGCCCTGCGGATCCGCAGGTACAGCGCCGTCCCGGGCTCCTGTCCCGAACGAGCCGGACCCGTGGGGCTGGGGGGCGGGGGGAGCAGAGAGTTGCTACTGAAAGGAGGGTTTGGAGGCTCTCGGAGCTTCGTGCTGCATCCTGTGTTGTGGGCAAGACGGTGGCGTGTTGGCAGCTGAGTCCTGTGGCCTCACAGACACCGACAGGCTGTCAGCGTCGCCTTCCTGGTGGGGGGGTCGGCGTTGGCCAGGGCTTGCCGCCCACGAGACTGTCAATCGTTCTGACTTAGAACCGCCCTCCCCACAGCATCGCGGAGAAGGGGCTCGCCCTCGGAGGGTCCGGTGGAGGGGTGAGTCGTGTGTGAATCCCGCCTCCGTTTCCTCCTCACGCCTTTGACTCCCGAGGGGAAGGGGGGAGCGAGGACACGCGGGGCCCTCGGGCGCCCCCGCCACCCACAGGACAGGGGCTGGGTCCCCGGGCACCGCCCACGGCTTCTGGGGCCGGCCCGAGAGAGTCCTGCCCTCAGGCGCCCCACAGCCTCGCAGCCGCCAGCTACAGGTCACTCCTGCCTCTGTGGGGGCTCTCGGGGCTGCAGGGGCGGCAGGGGCTGGTTCGGGGAGAGTGTTTATGGGAAAACCTGTCCGTGTGGACTCTGCTCCGCGTTCCCTCGGGAACTTGTCTTGTGGCGGTTAACTCTGTCTGGTGCCTGGAAGCCCAGTCAGCACTTCTGAGGCCCAGATCCCGGCCACGGGCCCCGGGCTGGCCGCCGCAGCCCTCCGGGAGGTGGGGAAGGGCCCGGGCGGCAGGGGGCCGAGAGCTGTCCTCAGGGGTTCGTTCCAGAGTCAGGGCCCAGCGACTGCGCTCCTGGGCACCAGCGTAGGGGGTGGAAGAGTCTGTCCACGCAGACGTGCGGCCCGCAGGTGAGCGGCACCCAGACTGCGGGGGCTCCCAGCACTCGGGAGAAGGGGCAGCAGCCCGCGGGTCCTGGGGGCCGCGTGCAGGGCGGCCGTGCTGGGCGCGAGGAGGCGGAGCGCAGTGGGGGCAGGGTTCGCTGACCGGAAGCTCTGGAAGAGGAGCCGAAGAGGGAGGGGTCCCCCAGGGGTGCTAGGAAATGGGGGCGCGCCCGACGGCTGTGTCTGCCGTGCCGATGGGCACCACGGGCGGTTTCCAGGGGGAGACGGCGGTGGTCCCTGCCGCCACCCCCCCCCGCCCCGGGCCTGGCCCTCGGGAGCTGCGCTCTGTCTCCCTGCCCCGGGCGGTGCTGGGCCGCGGCTCAGCCCCTGCGGTTCGGGGCACGGCTGGCAGCTGTGGCCACCACGCAGCCCTCAGCCCGGCTCCGCAAACGTCTTTTGCAGGCATCCATCTTGGACCTGCACTCGGGCGCGCTGTCTGCCGGGAAGCACTTCGTGAACTTGTACAGGTGAGGCCTCCGGCAGGGCTGCAGGGACGGCCTCGTGCTCCGTCGGGGCTTGGAGGGGAGCTGGGGCCTGCTGCAGGCGGAGGCACGGGGCCGAGGCGGGCGCTCTGGGGTTCCTGCCCTGGGGCCTGGGGGACCCAGGCCTTCCGGCCATGGGTGCCAGCACCCTCAGTCTGCTGGGCAGTCCTGACCCCACGACCTTCATCACTCGGGTGTCCCTGCAGAAGCAGAGCCGCCCCAGGCTGCAGGGTCAGCTGGGTCCCAGGGGCCTGCGCGTCACCTGGAGGGAAGACTGAATTTGAAGGAAAAACTAATGAAATGCTTATTCCTTAACACTTTTTCACAGATACTTTGGAGATAAAATAGAAAACATCTTCTCAGAAGAGGACTTCCAGTTATACCGGTGAGGAGGGGCCGGGAGGCTAGTGAGGGTGGGGAGGGCTGGGGCTCCCAGCACCTGGAATGGGGGAGGGGACACAGCTCCTGCCACCACCACCCCCCTGCCCGCCCGCCCTCCACAGGCAGGGCCCCGTCCGGGGGGATGGGCTCGGCCGGCAGCAGCCTGGAGCCCAGATCCTTGCGGGCCGGTCAGTCAGAGGCGAGGGGCAGCCCCCTCTCCGTGGGTGGGTCCAGCCCACGGCCACACCCACCAGGGGCCCCATCAGGGTCCAGGCCAGACAGCAGCGGCCAGTGCGAAGCAGGTCGCGGAGCCCCGTGTGGTTATTGGGGGCCCACGGGTGCTGTCCCCGCCGAGACTGCGCGGCCCCGGGTGACACGCGTGTGCCCCGCAGGGACGTGCGGCAGAAGGTGCAGCTGGCCGTCGCCCGGGCGTTCGGCATCAGCGCGTCCGCGCTGCACCTGACGAAGCCCACCTTCTTCTCCCGCATCAACAGCACGGCGGCCCGCACGGCGCACGACGAGTACTGGCACGCCCACGTGGACAAGGTGGGCCGCGCAGGGCGGGGGCCCGGGGTGAGGGGGGCGGCCAGTGGGCAAAACTGGGGTGCTGCTGAGGCGGACGGGGCGCGGGGGGGGGCTCGTGCGGGGCGCCCACAGGTGAGGAGCGGACGCGGGCCCTGGGCTCCAGGCCTGACGGCCCCGCCCCGCCCCAGGCGACCTATGGCTCCTTCGACTACACCTCGCTGCTGTACCTGTCCGACTACCTGGAGGACTTCGGCGGGGGGCGCTTCGTGTTCATGGAGGAGGGGGCCAACCGGACGGTGGAGCCCAGAGCAGGTAGGACGCGCAGGTGGCCCTGGGGCGGGCGTCGCCGGGCGGAGGCTGCAGGGACCCAGCGCCTGCCGGCCCGAGGCCCCAGAGGCAGAGGCTGTCGCCGCAGAGTGGGGTCCCAGAGCCTGCCCCTGCCTGGGGTGCTCCTGCCCTGACCGCCCCCGCCCCCCCGCCCCCAGCGGGACCCAGCGGCTTGAGGTGAGGCAACGCTCCGGCCTGAGGATGTCGGTCAAGGACTGAGCTCAGGACCCGCCTCCCTGACTGGCAGTCGGCAGCCCCGCTGCGCCAGCCCCGTGGGGCCACAGTGCGGCCCCGGGGGACGGGGGGGGAGCCAGCCCTGCAGTGGGGCGTGCACGGTGTCCCCGGCGGCTCCCTGAGGGGCGTTTTAAGCCCAGTGGATACTTGCATAGAACCTCGCGTACAATGAAAGCCCCCGCCGTAGGTCACGGTCCTCTGAGACCGTGCGGCACGGCTCCCGGTGGACAGACCCTCGTGTCTCCCAGACCCGGGGGCCAGGGGTCGCCCTCCCCTGGACTGTGCCGGGTGCAGGCAACCCGGGCCTGCGGGGTCAGTGCCCCCGGAGTACTTCCTTCCTGTCGTTACCTGAGGACACGCTCACTGGCGTTTTAGAGAGAGGGGAAGGGAGCGGGAGAGAGAGGGGGGAGAAACATCAGTGGTTGCCTCTCGTGCACATCCCGTCCGGGGGACCGAACCCGCAACCTTCCAGCTTGTGGGACGACGCCCAGCCACTGAGCCACACCGGCCAGGGCGCCCTCACCAGGGTGTCTTCGCTTCAGGTTGACGGCTCGCGGGTTCCGAGAATTTAAGGGACCGAGAGCCTGAGAAGCATCCTGTGCTGAGGCTGGGATGTCACCTGTGCGCTCTCGGGGGGCGTCCAGGGGCCCTGGTGCCAAAGAGGAGGAGGACATGGGGGGTTCAGAGCTGAGATGCCCGGCGGAGCCCACTTCAGGGACGTGGGGGGCGGTCTGGTGACTGCCCGCTGGAGAACGGGAAGCACCTCTTTCTGAGCACCGGGCGTTTCGCAGTGACGGTGCGGCTCTGTGCCCTCCGGGTCTGTGTGCCCTGAGCCTCGGGCAGCAGGTCCCCGAGCTGGCCTGGGTCGCCGCGCAGAGGGGCCATATCCCAGCTGCCTGTATTTCCGCCTGGTTCTGAGAGGCCAGCCTGGAGAGAACCCAGGCCTCGTCGGGGACCCTGCTTGACAAGGACCCCCCACACGCACAACAAGCTCCTGGGCCCCGACAGGCCCTGGGGTGCCCGCCTCCTGCCTGGAGGGCCTGCCTGCCGCTCCCCGTCACCTGGTGGGCGCTGTCGGGTCTCCAGGAAGGTGGTTCCGAGGGCCACGCACCACGTGGGTCGTTCTCTCTGCTCCCCTCCCCGCCCAGGCCGGGTGTCCTTCTTCACCTCGGGGTCCGAGAACCTGCACCGCGTGGAGAAGGTGCGCTGGGGCACCCGCTACGCCATCACCATCGCCTTCACCTGCAACCCCGACCAGGGCATCGCGGACCCCGCCTTCACGTAGCCCGAGGCTGCGGCCCCTCCCCCACGGCAGCCCTCCCGTCCCGCCAGGCGCCTCCCGCGCCACCTGGGTTCGGATTGGCTGACGTTTCGACCCTTTCCTCTGTGAGTAAAGCGAGGGAGCCGACTTCCCCCCAAGCTCCTGCATCTGCTCTCGGGCTCTGTGGACAGACCCCCTCCCCCCGGGAGGGTCCCCGCGCCCCGAGTGGAAGTCCCTCTGTGGGCAGAGAGCCGTCCGCCCGCGACGATGCCCCGGCTGCGGAGCAGCAGCAGCAGCAGCCACGTGCAGCAGGGGCTCCGGCCGACAGGGACTGAGGACCTGGGACGCCCGTGGTGGGGGTCCTGCCCGATGCCCCTCTTCCGGAAGCCAGGCCCCTCCTGCCTGCGGGGGCCGGGCTGTGCTCCGCTCCACACTGGGAGGCCAGGAGGGACACCGAGGCGCGTCCCCACGCTGACCGTGCGCTCGGGACGGAGCCCTGGGACGGGTGAACGGAAACGGCCAGTGGAGGCCATGCCGGGAAAGCACCACCGAGCCTGCAGCTGAACCTCAGACCCGAGGCCCCGGTGGTGGCGTGGGGGGATGTGGGGGGAGACGCCATCGTCCAGCCCCACTCGGGGCTTTCAGACCAATACTAAAGTTCTCACCTCGATCTTGAGTTTCCGGAAAAGAAAGTTCAGGGCCCATGCCCAGCCCTGAACTCACGTCGCAGGGCCCCCCGTTCTCCCCAGGAGGGGCCCTGCGGCCCCCCAGCAGCTCCCCCATGCCCTGTGCACCCTGGGGCCCAGGAGGAAGGGAGGACTCGGTGGCCAGGCGACCAGGACGGACACCTGATCTCTGTCCCTGCAGATCGCGAGAGCCCCCGACCTTCCTCGTCTCAGCACCTTCCAGCCCAAGCGGATCCCCGGGGAGCGGGGCGATGGGGGCTCCGGGGTCGGGGCCACGCCTGCCTCAGCACAGGGGGCCACTCCCAGCCCACAGCGGGAGGGTCCCGGACACGCCCGAGTGGGTGGGGTGGGGTGGGGTCGGGGCTTAGAGTGGACGGTGGTGGTCACAAAGCCGGGCTGGTCCTGAGCTTGAGCCCCTTGTCCCTGCCTCCATCCCTGGGCCGCCCAGACCTGGGGGCGTTCGCCCAGCTCCTCCCAGGCCCCTCAACAAAGACAGAGCTGGGAAGGGGGCTGGGGACAGGCCTCGTGCCCGGAAAGTTCCAGCAAGCCGGGAAGGGACAGGATGGAGAGGAAGGAGACGGCCCGGGGGTCTGCCCATGCGGGTGGGCTCCGGACCGAGGCTGCACCCCAAGGACGCAGTGGGCCCGTGTTTGCACCAGCTGCCCCTTCCGGGGCCCGGGGCCCTGCCCGCCCCACACGGCCGAGAGCCCCCCCGACCTGTGGGCACTGTGGGAGGCGGGGGCTGAGAGCTTGTGGGGTGAGGGTAGAGTATGGGGGGGCCGAGGGAAGAAGCTGAGGTGCCCCTCTCCTGCCCCCTCGGCCCCGGAGGATCTCAGCGGCGCCGACGCCCAGGCAGCCTCTCCCTGACACGCAGCTCCCAGATGAGACGCAGGCTCTGGGCTCCGGTCACACTGAGGCTGCCCGAGGCCACAGGGGCGAAGGGCGGCCCCGCCCACCGGCCTGGGCAGCCCCCCCCCCAGAGTCCCACACGCACAGTTTTGAGACGGGACGGCACCAACTGAAAGACCACCTGGGGGTGTGCCCGCTGAGGGGGCCTCCTGGGGGACCAGGGAGTGGGGGGGGCATGGAGCAGGCCACCAGCCTACGGGCTGGGCACTCGGCCGGCCTGGAAAAGGCCGCCATCCGGAGCTCCTGGCCGGGCGCCCCCAGCAGCCTGGCTTCCTGCTCCCAGCGCCCTCTGCCCGGGATTCCAGTGGAAAAGGCTGCCCTGCGCGGGGCCCTGGGCGCTCGGGGGGCTGGTCTGTGGGTGTACTGGGCCCTGGCTAGACTCTGGCCACCGCCTCCCCCTCACGGGATGGGGGCGCCCACCTTCGGCCAGCTGAGCTCCACAGCCAGCTGCACACCTGCCCCCCAAAAGCTCCCCTGGGAGGACAGCCGCCAGAGGCAGAGAGCTCCCAGGCAGGCGGGCACGTGCGTCCGCTGGCTGTGAGCTCGCAGGACAGTGAGGAGTGAAGGGAACCCGCGGGTGCGTTTCCTGGTCGGTGCATAGCACACACCAAGGCAGCAGCTCAGCAGCCGGGCGAGCCATCGGGGGCCGGTGTCCCGGCCTCCGCACTGGTGCAGGGTCTGAGCAGCGAGCGGGGCTCCCCTGCCCTCCCGCTGCCCCCACGGCCAGGTGCCTGGACTGGGCGACACTGCTCTCCTGGGGCCAGCACACCCCCACTGCCCCGAGTGACCAGCAGTCAAACCCAGCGAGACAGACTGGCCGGCGAAACCCATCGCCCGGCCCCAGGCTCCCGTTCCAGACGCCTGCGTGCCACCTCCTGGGGAGCAAACCTCTGCCTTGGCTGTGAATCCCCCCTTCCGGGCTCTTCCTCGCCATCCCCACCCCCTCCACCCCCTCAGGAAGACAGAAGACGAAACAGGAAAGGGTGCCAGCTGAGGGACACAGTCCATTCTCTCACCCCAGGCCAGGTGCCAGGCCCCCCACCGTCCAGTTTGAAGGCACCTGCAGCCCCGGCACCACCCGGCTCCCTGTCTTTGCTCTGCGAGGGCTGGAGGATGGGGACGGGGGTGGGATGGGGCAGGGGAAGTGCCCCAGGCCTGGCACTCACTCGGCCCCTCCCCGGATGCGGCTGGGACAGCCCGCCTGCCGGGCCCTCGGCCTCCCAGAGGAGCTCCACGCCCCACCCCAGCAAAGCCAACCCCACTCACCCACCTTCTGGGGAGTCATGGACCAGATTCACGGAAAGTTCCATCCGAGCAGTCAGCATCTCAGGCTCCGCAGTGCCTCCCATGGGTGGGTTTGCGTACTGGTGTCCAGAGCAGCTTCACCCCCAATCGACCGAGACCGGACCCTCACGTCCACCTGCAGGTGACAGACAGCAGCCCCACCCCCACCCCGCGGCAGTGCTCCTCGGCCGCGGGGAGGGTGCCCTCGTGCTCTCCACGGCGAGGTCGAGAACCAGACACAAGAGGCAGCAGCTTAGGGGTCCCGTTCCCCAGTGTCCACCAGCAGCGACGGCCTCGAAGCGAACTGGGGGCGTCCACTCGAGGGGCCTCTGGGGCGGCAGGGCCCCGTCGGGACTCGGGGAGCCCGTGGCTGAGGCATGGGGGGCAGCCCGGCCTCTCGGGGTCCCCGTGTTTGTGACGTGGGGCAGCATCGTCATTTCCAGGCATCGCCGTCAGACCTTTGTGCACACTCACGCTCACGCACACCTGCACGGGCGCACACTTGTCCGTGTCCATGAAACCTGGGGCTACAGCATGCAGGGTCACACCACGCCCCCCATTTCCCAGCATCCTCAGATCTACCCTGGGAAGGGGCCTTCCAGGTGGCACCCCTGTTACCCTCAGAGCCCGTCGAGGTTCCCTGAACGGGCCAGGGTGTCTCCGATGTTTGTTTATGACGCCGAAACGAGCTCCCTCGACGTGAGTCTTTCTTCACATCCGGCTTCCTGGTTTCGGACAGAATCCTAGGAGCAGCGTGCCGGCCCCGCGTCAGAACCTGGCCCTCGGCGGGCGGTGCCAACGGTGCCCCGAGGGTGTCTCGTCTTCCCGCATCTTTTCCTGCATCGGAATTTCACGTGACTTAGGTCATCGAGTTTATGGGTCTTTCCTGGAGGGGTCCGGACTCGGGGTCACATTTCCCCAGGCTTGTCCACACCCTCCGTTGGAACGATGTTCATTCTGTTGTGATTTCGTGGCTCGCGTGGACACGTACAACTCCGTCCAGATTTTATTTGGCCACGTGTCCCCCTGGTGGTGGGCACCTCTGTCCCGGGCCAGACGCCTGGTTCCAGGCGGCTCCCTCTCGGAGCTCGGCTGCCCCGTGCGGGTGGCCGCGGCCTCGGGGACATGCCGAGCACCTCGGAGGAAGCCACGCTGGCCCCTGCTCCCCAGTCCTCCTGCGCAGGCAGGGTCCTCACTGCTGTCCTCGGTGACCGCCCTCGAGCAGCGGTGGACAGAGACAGGCCCTTGGGGAGGGAGTGGCCAGGGGCAGGCCGTCGGAGGGCAGGGCCCAGCAGCCTGGGTGCCTGGGAGGCCCAGCTCTGCGCTGCACACGGAAGGCACACGAGGAAGCCACAGGTGTGGGCGGCAGAGGCGAGCTGCAGGTGGGAGGGTTCCGGCTCCTGGTTTTGTGCACCGTGTTCCTGCCCTGGAGACCGCCCCCCCCCCCGGCTGCCCCTCCTCCCGGAGCACACTGGGGTGGTCGCTCCCTGCTTCACCCCCGGTCTCAGGCCCCACCCTCGGGCCTCGCTCAGGCCGGACAGCACCGGCCCCTCACGTCAGGACGCTGGACCAGCTGCCAGCAAAGGCCTCACAGGAAGACGTGAGCCTGACTGACGAGCAGCTCCCGCGCCTGCTGTGCTGGGCGCCCTCCCGCCCCCGGCGGCCCGCCCCCCAGGCCGAGGCAGGACAGAGACCACAGAGCTCAGCGTTTATTGTCACGGGGCCACGAGGGGCAGGACAGGGGCCACGCGGCAGCCCGGAGGCGTGGGTCCCAGGCAGGCGGCTGTGTGCCACCTCGGGGCCGGGCTGGCACTGACCGGGGGTCACTGGGCGCGGCTGGGCCTGCGGGGGACGGGGCAGTTCCGGGCGGACAGCTGCAGCGAGCGACGGGGAAGGGAGGGCAGGGGACTCTCTGGGAGAGGACGGAGCGAGGGAGGCTGTCCGCAGGGGCTGGACCCGGTTCTCCACAGGACTCCAGCTGCAGCCGCCCCACCCCAGGGCCAACCCGGAGACCAGGATGCTCAGGCGAGGGCGCCCCTGGGACCTCCTGGGACAGGCTGATGGGCTTGGAGGCCTGCGGGCTGCTGGAGGACGGCGAGGCTGGAGGAGCGCTGGGAGTGGGCGGGGCGCTGCGCGAGGGCGCTCCTGCCGCGGGGCGCGCGCCGGCGGAAGTCGCGGTAGTTCTGGGTGAGCAGCGTGTACAGGAAGGGGTTGACGCAGCTGTTGCCGTAGGTGAGGCAGGTGGTCAGGTAGTTGACGATGCGCGAGGTGCGGGGCGAGAGCGGCTGGGCCCCGCGGTACTGCGCGAGCAGCTGCCACAGCCAGAAGGGCAGGAAGCAGGCCCAGAAGAGCAGCACGGTGCCCAGGATGAGCTGCAGCACGCGGGGGTTGGGCAGCCGCCGCGTCCGCGGAAAGGAGGCCCGCTGCGACAGCCAGTAGGCCCGCGCCAGGCGCAGGTACAACAGCCCGATGGCCACGCCGGGCCCGACGATGCTGGTGCCGAAGAGCAGCGTCAGGTAGGCGCGGTGGGCACTCTGGCCCCAGGCCGGCAGGCAGAGGCTCTTGCGGCCCCTGGGGACCAGCCGGATGGCCAGCATCATGGGCAGCGCCAGCAGCAGCGCCAGCAGCCACGTGGCCAGCGCCAGGCCCTTGCGGTAGCCCTTGGAGCGCTGCGCGGTGGCCAGCGGCCTCAGCACCGCGGCGCAGCGCTCGCGGCTCATGACGGTCAGCGTGAAGATGCTGGCGTGCATGGTCAGGAAGTCCAGGCTGAAGAGGACGCGGCAGCCCACGTCCCCGAAGTGCCACTCCCTGGTGACGTAGGTGGTCACGACGAAGGGGATGCTGAGCAGGTAGAGCAGGTCGGCCAGCGCCAGGCTGACGATGTAGACGTGCAGCGAGGCCGCGGCGCGCAGGAAGCGGCAGGTGACCACCAGCGCGTAGGCGTTGCCCGCCACGCCCACCGCGCCCATGGCCAGGAGCACCGCCCCGATGGCGCCCGTGGCCACCAGGTCCTCCGGCGCGCCGCGCTCCGCGGGGCTGGCCCACGAGCTGTTGAGCGATGCGTTGGGGCCGCGGGGCGACTCAGGCGCGGGGAAACCGCTCGCGGGCTCTGGACTCGGCGCCGCCATCCGTGCCGCCTCACGCGGGGCTTGGGGCCGGGTGTGCCGCCGGGGGCATCGGTGGGCGACGGGCTCGCGCTGCAGGAGAAGATGCGCATCAAGATGCAGGCGGGGCACCCCTGGGCCGTGAGGGCGTGGTTCCCACCGGGCGGGGCCTGCAGGGGGCGGGGCTCTGCCCTCCCTGCTCTCTCCACGGAGACCGGAAGGGGTGGGGGGAGCCGCCCCGACCAGCTGCCCCAGGAGCGCCCCCGCCCGGGGCCTCGGTGCAAGTCCAGGGGCCTCTGGGGCGGACTGGGCTCTTCTGAGACGCGCGGCGCGGCCGGGCAGCCAGGGGCAGGGGCAGCAGTGGGCACAGCCGGGAGCCGGAGCCCGGAGCTCTGCCCAGGCCTCCCTTTCTCACCTGCGCGAGCTGGCCGCCCTGACCTACAGCCCCTTCTCCGTGTGTCTCCTGCACGTGTTACAAATACGTTCCGCTCGGAGGGCAGAAGTAGAGTCTGCTGACTCCAGGAGTTCGAAAGGGAAAGCCCTGTAACGTCCCCGTGTCCGCCTCACGCCGGACACAAAAGCGACTGGGACGGTGGGCCTGCACAGGGCTGAGTCCGAGTGGTCAGCAGAGCTTCTGCGCGAACGGGGGAACACCTGTGCGACCCTGGGGCGGCAGAGACCCCTCCAAACGCAGGAAGAACCCGCGCAACGAGCGAGAAGAGCAGCGGCCCCCATGGAGGGGGCGGAAGCGTGAGCCGGGGTTGGGGAGGTGGCCAGACAAAGACCCCGTCGCCGAGACACACGGAAACCGGCAAATGAGTAACAATGAACTCACTTGGGGGGGGGGGGAGATTCGAACAGCTCCTTCTCAAAAGAGGGCGTCAAAGGCCGATGAAAAGAGGCTCAACAGAGGTCAAAGCCGCTGGGCACCCGGGGTGGCAGGGAGAGGCGTGGACGGTGCCCTGCTGGCGGGGACGAGCACCTCCCACCAGGAGCTCCACCGGAGGTTCCTGCGGACAGGACCGGCACTCTGTCCCGGAGACAGCGAGTGCTCGCAGCAGCTTTCCTGCCGGCCGCCCGATGCCCGTCCATGGGAGGCGGGCGAGCTCCTGTTCTGCGCCCCCGTCCTAGAAACGCTCCCCACGGAGAAGACGGGGCATCCTGCACCCCACGGCGAGGGCGACGCTCACCTCTCGAGTGAGTCCCGCCCAGGAAACCAGCCGGAAGAGGACGGGCTGGGATTCCATTTACTCGAACTTCGGGGAAGGCACATCGGCCGGGGGACCTGCGGTGTCGGCCGGGAGGGGCACTGGGGAGCCCCCCGGGGGGGTGGGAACCGGCCGGGTCCCAACCGGGCGGGGGGTACACGGAGCACACGCGCGTGTAAGAACTCGTGGAGTCGCACGCTCGAGATCGCTGCCTCCACTGTGGAGATTATCTTCATGCAAAAAAGGCCAACCCCTGGGAATCCGAAACCGAGGAGAAGCCTCCGGACGGCCCACAGCCCCCCCCCCACCTGGGGTGACGCGGGGTCCAGGCTTCCTCCCTCTGCTCGTCCAGGGCGGATGCTGAGGAGACGCTGGGGAGCATCCCGCCCGACGGCACCTGACCCCCCGCGGAAGGGGACTCAGGCCGGCCCCAGGCCCCTGACGTGGGGTCCGAGGGGACCCCTCCTACCCGCTGGGTCCCAGAGCCCGCCGCCACCACAGGGCTGCACAGGAGCCAGGCTGCGAGGGCCGGTGAGGCCCCCAGCACCCCCGAGGGCGACCCTGCGTCTCACCTCAGTCCCCGAGCAGCAGGTCAAGCTTCCGCTGTCACAGGTCTCCAAACGCTCTGTCGCGGGCATGCGAGGGGCCCGGATTTGAGGCAGAAGGGGCTCCGCCTGCTGGGCCTGGCCGGGCATCCGAGCTCCGGCCGGGATCCTGGTTGCCGCCACCCGCCCGGCCGCCAGCTGGGAATGCGCCGCGGCCCCGTGCCCGCGCCGGATATTAATAACTGGAGCTGGGGTGCCAGGAGAGGGGGCCCCGGGGGTGTTGAGATGCACGCCAGGGACTGGGGGCGCGGGACTGAGGGGGAGACGGTGCTGTCGGTCCTGGAGGGCCGGAGGGGCTGGAGGAGGGGGTTTGGGGGCACGGGGGAGGTGCTGGAGGAACGAGAGGGGTGCGGGGCGCAGGGACGGCGCCAGGTCTTGAGCAGAAGGAGCCCCAGGCTCTGGCCAAGAGCAGCCGCTTGGAGCCCAGCGGCGTCTGCGTAGCTCTCACCCTGGGCGAGCCCGGCGGCCGCGTGGTGGGGCAAGGCTGCCCCCAGCTGGGCTGCCTCTCTGGGAGGTGGCTCTGCTCTTACCCTTCGCCCCCCTGCACCCCCAGCCCCAGTCACACCCTGGACCCAGGCCACCCCACCCAGTGGCGTTAATGACACCCGCAACGCTGTGCCCCGTCACCACTGCCCCTTTCCCAATGTTCCATCACTGCAAACAGAACTGCCCCGTTACAGCTCACTCCCCGCCCCCACCCCCAGCCCCAGGGGCCACCTTCCTCCTCTGTCCCTGCACGTCTGGTTGCTCCAGGGCCCTCGCCTGAGGGGTCCCACTCCTGTGTGGCTGCCAGCATCCGGCTCTCCCTCCTGGGGCTGGACGCCCTGCCGTGGTGCCGACACCCAGGGTTTGCTCACTCACCCCAGGGTGGACACTGGGTTGTTTCCACCTTTTGGGCGCTGTGAGTGGGGCTGCTGTTTTGTGTCAGAATTCCCTGTTCCTTTTCTGTGTCACACTCAGACCCTCCATCCTTCCCAGGGAGCCTGGGGCCCTCCGAGCACCATGCCCGCCCGCTCCTCACGGAGACGAACCCCCAGCCCGGGAGGCTCTTGGCCCGGGGGGCGTCCCCGTGTCCCCCCCGAGGAAGCTCTCGGACAAATGGACTCGCACACAGCTCTTGCCCTCATCCTCTCCCTCCGTGGGCAGGTGACGCAGGCCAATCGGCTGCTCATCCGCTGCCCCGGGTCCAAACTCCCCGTGGCCCAGGACCTGCCCTGGTCGCTAGGGAAGCCTGCAGGAACACAGCCCGGGGTCACCAAACAGCCCTCAGAGCCACGGACCAGGACACGTGGATGACCAAAGACGACCAAGCACAGCATCCACCAGAGGCGGTGGGGGCGGGGAGAGTGTGCTCCCCACCCTTCCAGCCCATCCTTCTAGAACAGTCTTGGTCCCCACCTCCGGGTCATGAGGTCTGGCGGAGACTCGGGCCCCACGGCCACACGGCCTTCCCTCCTTTGGCTCCGTGGGGAGGGCAGGTTGGACAGGTCCTGTAGACAGTGGGGGAGGGGCCGGGGCTGGGTTAACCAGAGAGGGCTGCAGGGGACCAGGACAGGCAGGAGGGTGGGGTGAGGGGAGAGGGGCAGAGCTCCAGGCTCGAAGGTGCAGAGCGGGTCTTCCCTGGCAGGGTGCACCCTCCTCCCCTAGCCTGGACCCGAGAGGCCCTGCGTGTCCACAGGGTGTGGGCTCCACCCTCTGCCCAGAGCTGGGGGGTGATGGGGCCAGGGCTCCTGCTGGGAACTGTGGCTGCCCTGCCAGGCTGTGGGGGCTGGGCCCCCGAAACCTACTGGGCTCTGTGCAGAAGGAACTCTGCTGGCCCGTGAGTCACTCTGTGGACCCTTAAATCGTAAAGTGATCATAAGGCCCCCACTTCCCACAAATGCGACTTCAGGCTGTGCTCTGCACCTAGTGAGTCCGTTATGTTTTGGAAAGATAATTTTCTGCAAAACTCATTTCCAATTGTATTACTAAATTCTGTGGGAAATGAAGTTCCAGAGACAGAATCTGGCTTCGTGGTTTTCTTCCCAGATGCTCATCTGCCTGACCACAGACTCGCCCAAAAGGTGGGTCCTGTCCCTGCCCACCCCCTCCCCCTCTCACATGCCCCCAAAAAGCCTCTGGGGAAGATAAAGGAGAGGGAGCAGGACTGGGGTGGGGAGCGCAGGCCGACATGCGCCCCCAGCCCCATGGAGTCCGGGCCTGCGGGGCTCTGAGCAAAGACCGCCCGTTGGAGGAGGCAGCTTCGGGCAGAAACTGCGGGCAGGGCTGGGCTGCAGCCCCACGCAGGGCCCAGGAGTCAGGAGAGGCAGCCTGGGCCCTGCACAGCCTGGGCTCCCTGCACTGCCCCGGGCCGCCCAGGAGGGGTTCCCAGCAGGTGCACACTTACCTGGCACTGCCTCCCGGGGGGCCCCTGGGCAGGCAGCAGCTAATGGCACCTTTCCAGCACACACTCCCCTCGGTGCCACTGCAAATGTCGCTCCTTGCCTTAAGGCTCAGAAATGACACTTTCCCAGTCCTGGTCCCCCCTCCCCCATCTGGAGGGACAGTGATGCCAATCACCCTGGTCAGCAAGCGCCCAGGCCTCCGGCCGGGGCGGCCCTACTCACGGGTGGAGGGCCACCAGGCTAGAGCTGCCCAGGACTCGCCGACCCAGTGGGGGTCAGAGGTCAGAGTGCCTCCTAACTTCAAGTGCCCACCCTGGGGCCGCTGAAGGGCAGGGCCAGGGAGACTGTTCAAGGCCACACAACACTGTCCTCTCTCAGAACGGACCCCGTGGGCACCTAAGGGACCAGTGGCCTCCCTGCCTCCTTGAAGGGCCCTGGGGGCTGAGCACGGCTGCCTCCTGTGGCCCCAGGGTGGCCCCTCAGGCCGCGTGATCTGCGGAAAAGGCCTTTGATTCAGGGCCTGAGAAGCCTTGCAGTAGAGAAAGCTGAAATGTTGAGTAAGTGGACTGTTGACCCGGGAGGGTCGTAGAGAGGAGGAAATGAAGGCAAGACCAGGCTGGGCGTGTCTGGGAGGAGGCGGGGCTTGTCTGGGAGGAGGCGGGGCATGCACACTCTGGGGCCACAGGTGCTCACAGAACTACCAGGGTTTGTTTGGGCCAGCAGCCTCGATAACGCCCTTTCTCCATCTAATGATCACAGGAAGACTGGATGATTTACAAGCTGCAGACTCACTTCTGAAAGATGCGCAAGGAAGAGTGCTCTCAAAAGTCAGTACAAGGGCCTCACTGCTCCTGTTAATACCTGCGGCAGCAGCGAAACCCCGGGAAGTGGACCCTGGGAAGGACGTGGCCCACCCTTGAGTCACTGGAAGCCAGGGACCACCACCGCCGGCCCGTGGAAACCTCCAGGTTGGTCACGTACAAGCAGCTGCCGATTATGAACTCCTTCCCTGTCCACAGCACCCCGGTGACCAGCCCTCGCTGCCTTCTCCCGTGAGTCCGCGGGGCCGGGGCTGCTGACAGTCAGGAGCGTGCCCCTCGGTCTCTGGAACGTTACTGGGATCCTTCACACATGGGTTAGCCTGTCCATTTTTTTCTTTTAATCTCAGATGTATACTTTCACTATTGTTCAAAATACTCTTCTCCTGCCCTGGCTGGTGTGGCTCAGTGGACTGAGTGTCAGACTTTGAACCAAAAGGTCCCCAGTTCGATTCCCAGTCAGGGCACAAGCCTGGGCTGCGGGCTAGGATCCCAGTAGGGGGCAGTAACCACTCATTGCTGTTTTTCTCCCTCTCTTCCCCTCTCTAAAAATAAATAAAAATCTTTAAAGAAAAAAAACACGGTTTTTCTTTGAGCCTGTATTTGTCATTTATAAATAATGTGAGGCACACCTGTGAAACAAACTCTCGTCTCTTCCTCCTAGGGCACAGGTGGCAAACACAAGGCCCGCAGGCTGCATCCAGCCTGGTACCTGGTTGCTACCCAGCTGCAGGCCCAATGCTCTCGCTTGGCCTTTAAGCAGCAGCTACGTTTACACAGCCCCGAAATTAGTAGTTCAGCCTTTTGAAGGCGACCGTGAGGCGCGCGTGGCCTCCGGTGAAGACGAGGACGACGTCCCTGCCCTGGGGGTCCTAAACGGGTTAGGGGGGCACAACCCAGACACAGACCACAAGGCCAATCCACTAGGACCACATGAGTACAGGTTGGAGGCTTGGATGCAGAACACTTGTTTATTTAAATAAACACATACAAACTGAAACTAAACGGCCGAACTGCGTGAAACACCCAACAGCTGAAACCCAGTGCAGATCAAGCCCCCGTCTGCCTGGCAGCAGACTCCCACCCGACCCCTCACGCCGGGGCGGGTGCACAGGCGTCTGTCCTGCTCCCCACCTCACGGGCTGCACAGAAGCACCCACACAGCAGTCACCCTGCCACCTCCATGACAGTCCCCAGGTATGAACCCTATCCCCAGCTGAGGACATTTGTGCTGCTTCCTGCTGAGAGCCCGTTTCAGGCCCGAGGCCCGTCCTCTGATGACAGCTCCCCTGGCCTTGGTGGAGGGGCGGCTGCCAGTCCTCCTCAGCCTTGTGTGCCCTGGAGCACCCGGGACGACAGGGGTCGCTTGGACCCCCGCCCCTCACTTCCGGGCCTTGGGTGGAGGAGCTGGGAACAGGGCGGCCGCTCCAGGGCCTGAGCCCGGGTCCTCGCCGGTCCCAGGGACGCAGGGACCCTGTCCTTGGGTGGAGGGCTCTGGCCCGGAGGCCGGGTCCCTCTCCTCTGCCTCCTTTCTGCTCCAAGGAGAGTAAGAGAGGATGCTGAACCCCCTCCTGAGCAGGGCTGCGTCTGCAGGGACCAGCTCGACACCGTAGCCCGTCTCGGAGGTCTCCAGAATGCTCAGCTTCCAGGGGTTCAGGTCCTGCCCCGGGGGCGCGCTCTGCAGCTTCACCACACACATGTCGTCGGGCTCCAGCAGCACGTTCCAGCCCTGGCCCGGGGTCCGCAGGGCCCAGAGTGCGGTCATGTTCCGGAGGTAGGTGCCATTGGAGTCATCCACCATGGACATGACCTGCATGCCCAGCAACCAGTCCTCGGCCTCAGCAGGGTCCACCGCACGGGTGGTGCCCAGCTCCAACAGCATGGGCTCCCCAGGGGGCAGGACCTCTTTGAGAAACGCCTGCCACAGAAGGTAGGGGCTCGGCCAGTGGCAGCAGGCCAGAATGCCCCCGAATCGCCAGGGGAGGCCCTGGGTCCAGTCGGCATCCTCAGGGCCCAGGCCCAGGGGTGCTGCGTCCTGAGGGTTCAGCTCTGTGGGCACAAAGTACTGGTCCAGGCCCCCCTCTGCAGATTCGTCAGGGGACGACTCCAGGGAGTCCGAGCTCCAGTCTGCAGACACCCCTGCTGCAGCCTGACCTAGGGCCTGTCCCCAGCCAGGCCCCTCCACGGGGCTCTCCAGGAACTCAGGGTCCCACTCCTCATCTTCCCAGTCCTCTGACTCCAGCGCCTCTTTAAAGCTCAGGAAGACGAACTTGAAGCACATGAAGCAAATCCGTAGCTGGTCCCCGTGCTGGAGCTGATAGCGCCAGGACGCGTACAGGTGGGACACGCCCTCCCTGCCAGGCCGTGCGCAGACCGGCGGGCACATGGCCGCGCCACGGGCTCCTGTCCAGAGCACAGGTGGATGGCGGGGGCGGGTCTTGCCAAGGACTTCCCCCGGGGGCCGGCCCGCCGGTGCCCAAGCGCCAGGGTGACGCTCCAGGGCAGGGAGGAGGACAGGGGTCTCTTGCGGGGGCCTTGGCCGGGGACAAGCCGGGTCTCAATCCAACAGGGACCTCGGCGGAGGAAAGTGGACTTCTGGAAGTCTCCTCAGCAGCTGCAATCGCTCTTCTCCGGGGAGCTGCGGAGAAAAAGCGAGTGAGGGCAGGCGTCCCCTGGCAGGCAGGTGGCAGAGGGCAGGTGGCGCGCGGGGGCGCCGAGACGCGGGCTCCAGACCCCGGCCCTTTGCGGGCGCCTCTGCTCGGGGCAGCTGTGCCTCGCCGGGACCCACACGGCCCCTCCCCCACCCGCCGCCCCCCATGCGGGTCCCCCAGAGACCCCACACCCGTCAGGTCCCCCCTCCCCTGGGGGGACCTGACGAAACCGGGTAAAACCTGCTGGCCATGGAAGGAATCGGACGGAACCCGGCAGAACCTCGCAGACCCCGCCGCCCAGCACCTGAGCCGACACCTTGCTCCAGGTCACACCGGACAGTCCGGGGGTTTAAACCCCATCCTCCGCCAGTCCGGGGGCCCGGGACTCTCTCCGCAGTCAGCAGGGCTCGCGCCCGGCCTCCACCTCCCTCCGGCCAGCGTCCCAAGAAAGGGAGGGGGAACACCCGCCCGCGAATATAAAGGGCCATTTCCCATGGTGCTCTGGGCTCATCTGCATATCTCCCATGAGCCTCCGCCCGCCAGGAAGTGAAACTGCTGAGTCATCCTCTTCCCGCGCAGAAGAGCCACGTGCCGGCCGTGCCCCGTGCGCCGTTGAGAACTAGCCTGTGCCCCTCACCCGCCCCGGGGCGGATCCCGCCTCCGTGTTCGTCCCTCCGAGGGCCCAGAAAACTGCTCGCAGCGTCCTTTCCACCAGCGGGGGCCGATGTCTGCGCGTGAGCGGCCGCCCCGTGGCTGTGGCCGCGGCCGCGGCCGTTCATGGGTCGCCTGGGCGACCGCACTGGTCTCGGTCTTGTCCTTCTGTGGCGTAGATTCCTTTTTCTCGTCCCAGTAAAAGGTTTTATGCATTTCGGAAACAGATCAGTAGCCGAGTAGTTGCACTGTATGCCCGTTTTCCCCTTTTGTGGTTCACCTTTTCACTTGAAAGTACTCATTAGAAGAACGCTCTTGAAAATGGACTTTACTTTTATTTTTCTCTATTTATTGATTCTTAAGGAGAGAGAAACTATGATTTGTGTTCCTACTCATTGATGCATTCCTTGGTTGCTCCCAGACCACCCTCTAACCAACTGAGCCCCGCCCCCAGGGCAGAAAAACAGACTTCACTTTCAAAGCAGTTTTGGGTTCACAGCAAACTGAGCAGACCCCTTGCTGCACAGACGCCCAGCCGCCCTCGCCAGCCATCTGCAGCGGAATGGCACGGTTGTAACAATCAGTGAATGCACGTGCATACATTGTCACAGTCCACAGTCTGACGTTTGTGGACGGGTGCTCTGCCAGCTTTCAGGTTTTCTCCGGAGAGACCTGCTCCCCGTGTAGCTGTAGACTGGGGGTTTCCCTGGGAAGGGTGCGTTCAGGGTCCCCCGGAGGCCGCCTTGAACCGAACCGCTTCCCCTCCCCTTCCTGTAGGCCCCTCCTGTGAACTCAATTATTTTTTTTTTAAGATTTTATTTATTTTTAGAGAGGGAAGGGAGGGAGAGAGAGAGTAACATCAATGTGCGGTTGCTGGGGGCCTGCAACCCAGGCATGTGCCCTGACTGGGAATAGAACCTGCGACACTTTGGTTCACAGCCCGCACTCAACCCACTGAGCTATGCCAGCCAGGACGAACTCATTTAATCTTAATCACCCCCTAAAATCTCATTCCTGATAAATCACATTGGGGATTAGGGCTTCAATGTAGGAATTTTGGAGGGACACAATTTGGTCCTTTGCATTTTTACGTGAAATGCAGTGTAAATGGACGTTGCATGTGTAAATGATTTATGAATGTGGAGAGATGGCTTTTGCAGCAATCTGCCAAACCAATCAGGTAACTCAGTCAATCCTTCCCAACTTTACACAGGTGTATCCAACTGCCCAGAGACCTCCCCCAGGTGTCTGACCAGCACCATAGGACAAGTGGGTCTGCTCCTGGGCAGCTGGGCCCAGAGGAGGCGGACGCCAGCCCGCCCCGGCAACTATGAGGCAACAAAGGTCCTTGGGTGGGTAGTTCCCAGATTTTGTTGCACGTTAAGGTTTCCAGGGGGGGCTTTGAAGACTCCCAGTGCCCTCGTTGTAGCACATGGCAGACGCACCTAAAGGCAGCCCCCCCCCACCCCCAGGTCGGCCCACTCTTCCCATGACTGGGAGTAGAGCCTGTGATCTGCTTCCAGCCAACCAAAGTGGTGAGGGTGGTGGATGTCACCGTCTTGACGAGGTCACATCATGTGTCCCTTCAGCAACGACATCACCGTAAATTTCCTTAAGACCCCGAGCTGCCTCTTGGTCTTTCCTGCTGGCCTTGAGGAGGGAAACACCCACGCACCCACGCAGGGAACGGTGGCAGGGACTGTGGGTGACCTACGGGACCTGAACACACATCCAGCTGACGGCCGGTCAAGCCGAGGCCTCCAGCCCCGCGGCCACTGGGAAGTGAACTCTGCCAGCGAGAGCACAGCTGGCCGATACCTGGGCTGCGGCTGTGAGACCCTGCATGGAGGGACCAGCCATCGCGTGACCCAGCTCCCCACAGCTCCCAACCCAGGGGGACTGAGACAATAAATTGTGTGTTGCTTTAATCCACTGAGTTCGGCACTTTGTCACCCAGCAGCAGAGGCCTGACATGCGTCCCGTGCCAGTCATGTTGGAATTCCCACAGGGCACCCGGGTATTGGTGCCTTTTTCCATCTCCCCATCTCCCAGGACGCCAGACAGTTCGAGGACCGGTGCACAGACCCCTGGTGAGGTTAGAAGTTTCCCTTGATCCTTCCTCCCTCCCCTGGTGACCCTGGTCTCTGGCTAATCTCAGGCCACCTAAGCCAGTCTCCACAGGGGCCCCTCGATAGCCATCACCCACTTAGCCAGCCAGCCAGCCAGCCAGCCAGCCACACTGCCCTGTGACTCAGCCATCCCACCTCGACCTGCCACAGACTGATCCTGACCTACGTGGCCCTCACGGGACCTACGTGGCCCTCACGGGGCCAACGTCATGCCCTGGAGGTCAGCAGGACCCAGAACCCGGCGCCCAGACCTGCCTGCTCCCAAAGCTCCCACTGGCACGGGGCCCAAGAGTTGCTGCAGTGGAGAAGGTGGGGCAGGAGCCACAAAGAGTGAGTGGACGGCGAGCAGGGGCGAGACCGAGAGATCAGAGGACTGGGACCACCGCCCCAGTCAGGCTTACAGACCCTCGCAGGCGCGGGGGCGGGGCTCGGACCCGCCCGCGACCTGAGCCAGGAGAGAGGCCACGCCCCCCGCGCTGCGGCTGGAGCCGGAAGCGGCGGCTGCCTCGGTCTCACCCGGGAGGCCTCGGCCGCTCCCGCGGCTCAGAGCGCATTCCGGACGTGTCTGCGGGCGGGCACATTCCTGCCTCTCTGCCGGCGTGGTGGCCTCGTCCTCGGGACCGAAGCCAGGCACGGCTGACCCCCTGTGTCCCCGGGCACAGCCTCCGCACCCGCTGGACGGCGAGCCAGCTCGGCTCATGTTTCCCGCAGGCCCGGCCGGAATGCGAGCCTGGCGCGGCCAGCCGTGCCCGGAGGAACCGCCCGACCCCGAGGCCTCCGACCCACACGGGTGGGCATGTGGGCAGGCGACCCAGCTGGAACGCAGCCCTGGAAGAAGGAAACCTGTTTGGATAATCAAGTGACTCCCCAGGGAGAACCTTCTGGAAAACTGCTGTGACACGACCAGGAAAGGAGCCCGGCGTGTTGTGATGAGGCCTGGCCGAGGGTGTGTTAAAGGCGCATCGGCGTGCTGGTGCTTCACCGGGGTGCGTTTCCTCCCGGCGGGTTCCGAGGAAGGACAGGCATGCCCGCCGCAGGGTTAGCACCAGCGGAGCCACAGACCCGGGCAGCCAGGGCCCTTCCCTGCACAGTCTGAGTGCGCAGCGAGGGCAGAGCCAGACCTGCCCCGCCCCCCCTTGCCCCTCCCCGCGCCCCTCCCCAGGTCTCCTGAGCCCTTCCGGCATTTCTGAGCCACAGGCAGTGTTTCAGTCCCACCCCTGCAGGCCCCGTGGAAAGAGCTTCAGCCTGTGTCTGGTCCCTGGTCCCTGGTCGTTGGAATCACGTCTTTCTCTGCAGCTGCTGGCTCAGCTCTGCTGGGGACTGCCCTGCCCGTCACTGGCCCCTGGCCCCTGACCCCTGAGGAGCCCAGGACCGGGGTGCACACCCCCAGACGTGCCCAACGGGGCCTCCCCAGCCCCTCGGCTTCTATCTGAGGCCCAAGCCCTGCTGGACCAGGAGCGCAGGACCCCCAGGGCAGGCCCAGGCCCGGGTTACTACTTTCGACCTGCCCGGTGGCTCAGCCCACTCCCGGGGGGAGCCCTGTCGCTCTGAGGGTCACTGGGGCGGGAGGTCATTGAGAAGAGCTGGCGGTGAGCACACGTCCCGTGCTCGTCCAGACCCACTGCAAGCACAACCGCGGGAGAGAGACCCGCGGTGCCCACGGTGGACAGGAGTCAGTGGTGAGGGGCCCGTCTCGGCTCTGCGGCCGGCAGCGAGCACGCAGGCCTGAGGTGTTTGTGCAGGGAACCGCGTGGGGCGGAGCCCTCGGGAGTCCCTGGACAAGACAGAAGAAAGTCCATGTTTATGAATTGAAGGGTGGACCAATTGGTGTGGCAAGCAATTTTCAAGTACCTTTCCTTCAATTAATTAATTTTCATTGTATTTTTCATCGCCAGTCCCCCCCCCCATGCTCTCCCCCACGGCCTTAACTAGCTTTAAAGCGCTCACACAGTGAATGTCACCTTCACCAGCGGTGACACTGCTTCTCAGGAAGGGGAAGCTGCCGCAGCCACCGGCCACACTGCCGAGTCCCTCAGGCAGCCTCTGGCTGCTGCTAAGACCACATCTGGCTAGCGGGCCAGACCTCTGGTGCAGGGTGCCACCCAGCCCAGAAATGTGGGAGGGCGGGGGCCGGGCGTCCAGGTGGCCTCGGGGTCACCATGGCCTGGGGTCATGTCGGGCCTGGTCCTCACTGTGGCTAAGAATCTCTACTGCTCGCCCCTTCCAGGCAGTTTTTCGAGTTTAATTCTCGGACCGAAAAGGTGACCCCCGACAGGAAGCGGGTCCCCTCCCGTGATTTGTCCTGTCCTGTCCATGTCCCTCCTTTGCCTGACAGTGGCCGCTGCGCACCGGGGAAAGGTGCAGAGGGAGGAGGGTCCCAGGGGCACGGAGCAGGGCCGGGCAGGGGCCCTGGCTTCCGGCACCAACACTCAGGGGCCCTCTGACCCCCTGGCTTCCCCCCTCCAGGGGGTCCCAGAGCCCGTGAGAAGGTCCACGCTGACCTCGGCCCCTGCCCCCGTTCCCATGATGCTCTGAGCCCTCCTGCCAGGGCTGCCTCCCCAAGTGTGAGGCAGGAGGTGGGTCAGGGTATGGTTCTCTCGTGGGGGAGGGAGGGGCAGGCTCAGTGTCCCACGACCCCAGGGAGGGCTGTCGGTGGCTGTCC